CCGTGCCCATTCTGGCTCTAGAGGGACACCATGGATGGTTGAGCCACCCGCAAATACTCAACCAATAGCCGCTATCTGAGATATCTCGGCCAGCCGAGGAAGGAACCGTGAAAGCGAGGTAAGCCGACCTGCTAACTTCTGTACTTCCTTAAGAGTGCCGGGACTCTTCATCTCCAGTATGGCCTGGCACTTATCCGGGTTCGCCTCGATGCCCCAACTGGACAACATGAACCCCAAAAACTTTCCACCTGAAACACCAAACACGCACTTTTCAGGGTTCAGCCTCATCCGGTGTTGCCTGAGCGCTCGGAACACTTCAGCGAGGTGGTGCACGTGGGCAGAAACTTCGCCAGACTTTACGACCATGTCATCAACGTAAACTTCCAGGCACCGACCGATCTGATCATGGAAAATTTTATTCATCAAACGCTGGTATGTGGCCCCGGCGTTCTTCAGACCGAACGGCATCACGCGGTAGCAGTAGTTGGCCATCTCGGTGATGAACGCCATTTTTTCTTCATCTTGAGGGTGCATGCGGATTTGGTTATACCCCGAATAGGCGTCTAGGAAGGATAGGAATCGGTGGCCAGACGCCCCATCGACTAGGCGATCGATATTAGGCAACGGGTAGGCGTCTTTCGGGCAGGCCTTGTTCAAGTTGGCGTAATCGGTACACATACGCCATTTCCCATTCGGCTTTCGGACCATGACCACATTAGCCAGCCACGTTGTATAGTGCACTTCCCGTATAAACTGCGCCTCCAGCAATTTGGCTACCTCGGCCTCGATTGCCGCCTTCTTCTCCTCTCCGGTTTTCTGACGCCGCTGGGCAATCGGCCTCGCCTCCCTACTGATCGAGAGCTTATGGTTTGGAGATCTTCCAATTGTACATGCGTGACGACGCATTAAATATTAAGTTGCATAATGTTGTTGTTGGTGTTGTATTTAAGTTGCTTCTAAGTTGTATGAATGAGTTGTGTTTTTATGTTGAACTGTATGGTCGTTTGTGTTGATGATTGAATGAATGAGTAGTATAGTATTTTCCCTATACTTATATGATTGATTATTGAATTATAGCTTACCCTTCTGTTTCCATGTGGATGGACTGCTATGATCATACAATGTATAGGAGCAGATTAGGGCTAGGTTGGAGCTGTTGGATGAGTTTGCTGCTAGAAGTGGAATTTTTGATTCCTAGTATTAGAGTTACCACCTTGGGTAACAATTTTGTGCTTGACCGGCACTAGGAGATAGTAGTTTTGGATAACTGTATAAATACTAATACTTAATTATTCTTATATATTTTCATGTTTTATATTTATGAGTTATCCAATTTTATTATTTATCTTAGTTCACAAATTCTTAGCACGATTCCACTAAGTGTAGGAACCACGGCAGGTCGTTACAAGATCATCCCAAGACACACACACCATGTGAAAATCCTACCTCATTGATGAAAGTTATTATCCCCCTAGACCTCTTGTGGGGTGATCCATTGGCGATCACCAAGGTCATCCATTCACCAATGCCATTGTTGATGCTCCACTCACCAAGGGTGAAAACATCTTATCATGAAAGAGTTTGATGGCTTAACCTACCCAAATGAATACTTAGTTGTGTACGAAACCAAGATGTACCTTTATACCCAAGAAGATGTGGTCATGTGCAAGATTTTCCCACAACCCCAAAAGGTCCTACGCTCTTATTCATGTTTACTGTGACACCCATCTACCCCCAAGAGAGATACCAATTAAAAATATATTTAGCTCGTAAAATCAGAAATCATCCTCATTTAAAGTCATAAAGAAAGTAACTATATCATCTAAAGATTAAATAACAATTACATCTTTAATGTACTTAAACTAAAACCAAAACAGTTAACATAATTTCCTAACTACTCCAAATTCTCGATGTCACATTGGCATTAAAGTCTCCACATACACACCTAGATCTTTCCCTGGTCCTTCCAAGATTGAGGATCCTTGTTTATAAAATATACAAAAGACACACCAATAACAAACAGAGAGTGAGAACAATCTCACTCTATAGGGAATGAGCCACAACCTTTGACATCACATCCCCTTCATGATAAAGAATATAATAACAACAATTAATACATGAATTTCAAATATAGAAACCATCCATATACTCACAAACACATACACAGTAATGCAATATAGTGTGCACTTACACCTAAATACATGGAATACCTTACCATCATCATCAAGAATATACAATTGGTACCTAAGTCCCGAGTTAACCTTAGACTACCAACATAGAAGTGTTTCCACCAAAACATCAACAAATTCCCACCAGAATCACAAAATCATGTATATCACAAAATAAGTGATATGTTGATATGATATCTTTATAATAACTAATTAAATTATAAAGATATCATATCACCAAAACTTTTTGGATGATTTTTATAAATATTCGGAAATGACTCCAAAACTTATTTCGAATCCTTAAAAAAATATTTAAATTATAAAATATTAAAATAAATAAATATTTTATAATAAATTTATTAAAAAGTATAAATATTTTAAAAATTTAGCCGCTGTTTGTATTACTTTTTCGGAGCATATAACAATTCTAATATATAAGTATTTCTGGCATGTCTGACGTGAGTGATGTCAATTTTTATGTTCTTAATTACATGTTTTATTGTGGTTATCTTTCTATTTGTTTTTTTCAAAGTGGGTGGGGTGTATCTTTCATGTTTTTCAATGTCCGGGTAAAGTTGGTGATTAGGTGGTTCGTATTATTGAAAGACTAATCATTCTTTTAATAGAAAACGGAATAGACGGAAGAGGTGGGGACGGAAATTGTCAATTCATGCATTGGGATGAATCATGTGATGATCAATCATTCATGTGAATTTGGTAATAGAAAATAAAAGAATATATAGTTTTAATCTTTATAAAATCAAGAGACTCTTATGTTATTTTTTATAAAACAATTTCTTTATTTTTCTCTGTTTTAATTTTAATTATTATTTTTCCTTTTACAAAAATAGTTTTGATTTTTGTAAATTAATTTTGTCTGATTTTCATTGTTCAAAACTATGAAATTATTAATTTTAGTTTCTAAATATTCATTTTTATGATATATTAATAATAATTATTAAGGTGTCTTAAGTTCTTTTAAAAGTATTACATGTTAGAATGGTACTAGATACACTAGTAGGCATGACCTAATATGATGATCACTTGAAATAATAAAAGTTGTTAGTAGGTATTACTTATATTTATATTATTAATAAAGAATTTTTTTATACACAAAATTTAAATTAATTTATCTCAAATTATAAGATTATAATTACCTATAAATCATTTTTTCTTTCATTATCTTTTAATTATTATCACTTTTTTCTGCTTTAACAAAGTTTAAAATTTCAAATTTACTATCCCTCAAATAACCGTATGTTATCTTTTATAGAAACCAAATTTAATACTCATTCCTTTTACATAAATTAAAAATATATTTAAGTTAATAAAAAATTAGTAATAAATATTTCTTTAAAAATATCATAATATTATATATTTGTATTTTTATATAGTTAAACAAGAGGAAATAAAATTTTATAAAATTATTTAGTTTTATTTATTTTTCTGGAAAAATAATCCCTTACTTTTTTCCTGAAATAAATATACCAA